GCTGGGGCTGCGGTGCCGCCGCGCTTGGCCCTTCTTTGGGTCTGACCCACCTGTGCCTGAAGGGGAGTGGCTCGGGCAGCCGCCACAGCAGCGTTTCCGCCTTTGGTCGCTCACAAAGGGAGGCGTTGAAACCACAGGCCCAGCTGGACACCTCCCCTTTCTCTCCCCCTTCTGCTGCCGTCTGGGTCGCTTTGGGCCCACTCCTTCTTCTCCTGGCCCGGAGTCTCTCGCCCTTCCCGGATGGGCCATCCCCCTGGCAGCCTAGCCCTGAAGGAGAGAGATTAAGTCCTGAAGCCTGGTCTCCCCCCGGCCCACCTGCCCTCTCTCCCCCAGGAGGTCCAAATGCCAGAGGTCCTGTACGAGGCCGTGGTGGAAGTGGACGAGCGCTTGGTTCTCCATCGGGACGACTGCCGGCTCTTTGATTCCAGGCAGCTCGTGACAGGTGGGCGCTGCAGCTGGGGGGCTCGGGGGTGCTGCAGGCGGCCCGGAAGCAGCCTCTGGATCGCAGCTGCGTCCCTCTTCTGTTTCTAGGCTTGACGGGGGAGGTCGTGGTGGTGAAGCAACCTGTGAACCTGGCGGCCCTGCGAGAGGACCTGGAGTGGCTGCTGGCGCGGGGCATCCGCAGCCTCGCTGTGGTCCTTCTGCACGCCTATTTGTGAGTTCTTTGTGCCGGGGGGGGCATCTTGAGCCCCACAGGGGAGCTTCCAGCAGGGAGACGTTCGGGCAGGAAAGGCCAGCACGGGCAGAGAACGCGTTCCAGCTGCCATGGAAGGCTGGCGCAGGAACACAGGCAGCGCATCTGCCCTCCTGGCCCCCGAGAGGGAAGCGTCTGGGTTCCGGCCTGGGGGAGGGCGAGGCGATCTCCGGGTGCCGAGGGCTGCATTTAGCAGTCGGGCCTGAAGCTGTGTTGAGTAAGAGCCTGCAGTAGGCAGGAGGTAATTTTGGGCGGGATTGCGCAAGTTTCATTCTTGGGAGGGATTGCATGGCTGCCTGCCGTGTGCTGGTTTATATTTGAGAGGGCTGAAAGCTGTAGTGGCCGGAGGAGGCCCTGCGAGCTGCTGGGCTGAAAGTCCCAACTCTCGTTCCCTGTTAAGATCTTCCTTCAGAAGCAATTCTCCGGGATTGGGTGGGACTGGCTCTTGAGGGCCCCAGGTGGTGACAGGGCATCTTTCCCAGCTGGGTGCATGCCAGCACATGGCTGGCCAGCGCAAATGGCCCAGAGCGGGACCTGCCCTGGGCCAGGCCAGGGCCACTGTGGGTCAGCCTTTCGTGTCTCTGACAGGTGGCCAGGCCACGAGCAGCAGGTGGGGGCCCTGGCCCGGGAGCTCGGCTTCCAGCAGGTGTCGCTTTCCTCTGAAGTGATGCCCATGGTGCGCCTGGTGCCCCGTGGCTACACAGCCTGCGCAGACGCCTACCTGACCCCGTGCATCCTCCGCTACCTGGACAGCTTCCGGGCTGGCTTTGCTTCACAGCTGCAGGTGAGGAGGAGGGGGTGGGGGGCACTCGCCTGAGTGGGCCTCCGGGGCCTGAAGAACTGGACTGGGGCCTGCCTGGGGGGTCCCGGCTCCAGTTGCTCTCCCGCAGGGTTGTTCCGTTGGAATCTTGCACGGCCTTGACTGTCGTGTTAAGGCACGAGGTTACCTCGCTCGGGCTGGGCACGCTGCCAGAGCACAGCGATTGAGTTTTGTGAGCCCGTATCTGCTGCGCAGCGTGAGCCTAGCCTTTGCGCCTTGCCACGCACAGGCTTGTGGGCTGAGCACAAGGCGTGCGGTGTTTGCACCTGAGCTGGCTTCTGGCCTAACGGAAGGATGAGAAACGCCTCTCTGTCGTTAATCGAGGACGCCCAGCTTGGGATGGTTCCCGTTCAGTGCATTTATAGGTAGCTTATAAACATTTGGGAAGAAATATGGTTTTTCTGCTGGTTGTTCATTGGTCAGATTTGGGCCCCTCCTCTCGGTCCAGGGAGCCGGGGCCCCGCTTGCCCTTCCACCAGGGAGGGAGAGCTAACTGGCCTTTAGAGCAGTGGGGGCATTGGAGCGAGGAAAGGCATTGCCGTGGGCTCAGGGAATTTCGAGCAGAGGCTTGGGTTCATGGCACACTTGAGTCCAAAGGTCCCTTGAGGTCGCAGGTCCAGCAGGCTCTCACGAGACGGCTGCCCAGCCACCAGCCCTCGGTTCCTCTGGCCTAGCCCTGTCCCCATCCCCGCAGGGCGTGCCGGTCGCGTTCATGCGTTCCGACGGTGGCCTGACTCCTATGGAGGCTTTTAGCGGCTCTCGGGCCATTCTCTCGGGCCCGGCTGGCGGAGTCGTGGGCTACGCGGTCACCAGCTACAACCACGCAGAAGGGCGCCCTGTCATTGGCTTTGACATGGGAGGTGAGTGGCGGGAACTGTGGGGCTCCACGGCCCTGCTTGGGGCGGGCTGAGGAAGGCAGGCTCACCAGAACCCTCTCGCAGGAACGTCCACCGACGTGAGCCGCTACGCCGGGGAGTACGAGCACGTCTTTGAGGCCACCACGGCTGGCATCAGCCTCCAGGTGCCACAGCTGGACATCAATACGGTGGCTGCCGGGGGCGGCTCTCGCCTCTTCTTCAAGTGAGCGTGCGGCCTTCGGTTCTCTTCTCCAGGCCCTGGGGAGGTCTCTTTGCTGTGGGTGATTCGTTGGCCATCTTCCTTAGAGCAGGGGTGGATTAAAAGCAGCCTGGGATCCTGCCAGCGTGGAACCCGGCACTAGCTGCCCTTGGCGGCTCCTCACCCCTTCAGCCCTTCCCAGTCCCGTGTGGGGGCATCCTGCTTAGCCCCGGCTGCCCTTCTGATCTCCCTTCCTGCTTTTCTCTGACAGGTCCGGGCTTTTTGTGGTGGGCCCCGAGTCTGCAGGGGCACATCCCGGCCCTGCGTGCTACAGGAAGGGTGAGGGAGCCGCGTCATCCTGGGCGAGCGGGTTGAGGCGGGGCTGGGCAGCTGCTCCCTGATGGCCACCCGCCTTCTTTCTCGCAGGGGGGCCGCTGACCGTGACGGATGCCAACCTGTGCCTGGGCCGCCTCCTGCCCAGCTACTTCCCTTGCATCTTTGGGCCCGATGAGAACCTGCCGCTCTCACAAGAGGCCGCTCTGCAGGCCTTTCGGGCACTGACGGCCGAGGTGAACGCCTTTGGGGAGGCCGAGTCTCGCTTCAGCGTCGAGGACGTGGCCATGGGCTTCATCCAGGTGGCCAATGAAGCTATGTGCAGGCCCATTCGGGCACTAACGCAGGTACCGGCACCTGACCGGGTCTGCAGCAGGGAGAGACGTGGGCCCATCCTGGGCAGAGCTGGTGCTGGCTTTGGGCATTCCAGAAAGCCCCGTCTGGGCTCAGTGGGGGCCCCACAAAGGGCAGGTGCAGGGGGCAAGGCCTCCGGTGGCCGGTTGCAGCGGGGGAGGCTCACGCTCACAAATGAGCAGGATGCGAGTTCAGGCGGAGTTATGAAGGGGTCTTCGGAACCGTTTTAAGTAGGAAAGGGGGATGGGGGTCGAGTCAGAGGGAAGATGGAAGCCCGTTTGCTTTCTCAGAAGCTGCGATTCAGGTGGGCAGTTTGGTCCTTTTGAGCAGCAGCTCTCAGCTGTAGAAGCCTCGGATGGGCCGAAGAGCGGGGTGGAAACCAATTGCTGCTACAAACTGGCGCTGGAAGCGGGCAGCAGGTGGGCCAGGGTGTTGCTGGGCAGGTGGCCTGGCCCTGCCCTCTCTTCCCTCCACCCCAGAGCAGGTCTTGCTCCCAATGCTGCTGTTCCTCCTTCTCAATAGGCCCGGGGCCACGACTCTTCTCACCACATACTGGCCTGCTTCGGAGGAGCAGGGGGCCAGCATGCCTGTGCCATCGCCCGGGCTCTGGGCATGAGCAAGGTCTTCATCCACAAGTAGGTGCCCGGGGCCGTGCATTCGTGGTCGGGGTCAGGGCAAATGATTGTCCGTCAGAGGAGGTGGAAGCTAGCTCGGCTGGGATATCCTTTTCTGTCCCGGAAGGTTTGCTGCCCACTGGGCAGCTGCCAAGCAGGGCTTTTCTTCTGCCAGCACGCAGGGCCCCCCGTCCTGGAAAAGGGGCTCTGGTTTGCTTTGGCCATGTCTTTCCCAAGCAGGGCGAGGCTCTGTGGCCCTTGGGGGATGTGCTGGCCAAAGGGAGGGTAGGCTTTTGCACTCAGCCTTGTGGGTGGCAAGTTGCTCTCCAGGGTCACCCTGCTCCCCCCACAGGCACAGCGGGGTCCTGTCAGCCTACGGGCTGGCCCTGGCAGATGTCGTCCACGAGGCTCAAGAGCCATGCTCGCTGGTCTACGGGCCAGAGGCCTACGCCCAGCTTGACCTGCGAATTGCTGCCCTGGAGAAGAAGTGTGTGCAAGCACTGGAGGCCCAGGGCTTTGCCAGGTGAGCCCCCCATGGCTGGGGAGGGTGGAAAGGACCGGGCGCCTGGCTTTGGCATGCAGGGTGCCCTGCAGGCTGGCCTGGGCAGAAGAGGTCACACTCCCTCCACCCACAGGTCTCAGATAACCACAGAGCTCTTCTTGCACCTGCGCTATGACCGGACGGACTGCGCCCTCATGTGCTCTGCCAAGGGCTACCCAGCCCACCTTGGCTCCTGTCGCAGTGGAGACTTTGGCGCAGCCTTTGCCAGTAGGTCAGTGACACGCACCTGTGCTCAGACGACGGCTTGCCAAGGGCCGGCCCCTCCCTCTGGAGAGCCACGAGAAGTCCTGGTGCTGACCCTGCCGCCCCACTAGGTACCTGCGAGAATTTGGCTTCACCATCCCCCACCGAGCCATCCTGGTGGACGATGTGCGGGTGAGGGGCACAGCCAGCTCTGGGATGAACCAGGAAGAACCTCAGCCGATCGGCGAAGGGCCGCCCCCTCTGGAAATGGTACAAATCTCCCCTTCTCCTCTGACCCCAGGCTGGGCTCCCATAAGGAGACTGCAGTTTGCCCTTCAGCTTTGGTCCCGGGGGGCCTTGCCGTACCCCACAAGGGTCCTCGTAGCGTGTGAATGCGGGAAGACTTCTGTCCGCTTTAGCATCTTGTCAGAAGCCAGCTCCTGTGACTGGCATTTGCACGACGTGGTTGATGCTGCTTGCAGAATTTTATTTCCGAATTTGTACGATGCTGCAAACTGGAACCTACCCAGACGGGGCCTCCAAACGCAAGAAGCCACAGAGAACAAAGATTAAAACCCAAACGGGCTTAGTGCAGCAGATAGAGCTGTTGACCTGATGCGTGCTGTGAGAACACAACCCTGTGTGTCTCTCTCTTTCTCTTGCACCTGCTCAATTATCCCACAGGGGAGGAGAGTGGCGCTCCTTTGAGGGCCCTCCTAGTGGGAGGCACCCACTTCTGTTCTTTCTCGGTAGGGCTCCTCTTGTCGTTTCCATTCCCTTCACCCTGTGCAGTCACTGGTGTATAATAGGAAGTGTGGAAAGTCCGTCATCCAGAAACGCCAAGAATCACAGAGTGGAAGAGTTGGGAGGGACTTTGAAGATCACCTAATCCAGCCGCCATCGGAAAAACTCCGGCGGGGGGAGGCCGCCACCTCCCAAGGCA